CTGCAAATCTCCATTCCAAGTATCTTTTTAGCTTCACCAAGATTCTTCATCTCGAACTCAGTACTCAACTGAATCTTCAACTTATCAATTTCAACTTTGCTCTTAGATACAATCAACATATCATCAATATATAAGAGCAAATATACAAAGGATCCATCACAAAGCTTACGAAAATACACACAGTGATTATTATGGCTTCTTGTGTACTGTTGCTCTTTTATGAACTGATCAAATCACTTGAACTTTGTTTCAATCCATATAGCGACTTCCTCAGTTTGCAAACCCAATTTTCCTTACCAACAACCTTGAATTCGTGTCGCTGAGATATATAGATCTCTTCCTCCAAATCAGAAGGCAATTTTGGCGTCGAGTTGAACTAACTCGAGGTCAAACTATGCAACTAAAGCTAGCAAAATCCGAATGGAAGAGTGTTTTACAACAAGTGAAAATACCTCATTATAATCAATCCCTTCTCTTTGCGCGTAGCCTTTCGCCACCAATCTAGCCTTGAATCTCACACTGTTTTGCCCTGAAGAGCCTTTCTTCTTGGTGTATACCCACTTGCACCCTATCGCCTTCTTCTCCTTTGGAAGTTGAACCAACTCCAAGTCTGATTCGTATGAAGAGACTACATTTCTTCGTCCATTGATTTCTTCAAATATACACTTTCTAAATTTCTGACAGCTTCTAAATGGAATGTCATCATCAACTATAGGTAGTGTGTATGCCACCATATCAGTAAACCGTGCAGGTTTCCGTATTTCTCTTCTTGGTTTACCAACTGCAATAGAATACAGTTGTTGTGGAGACTCTTGGGTTGAAGCCTCCTCTTCATTTGTACCTGGTTCCTCATCATCTGAGTTAGTGACAGATCTAACTGAAACAATTGGAGCTTCAAGCTTCACCTACTGCGAAACTTCTTTGGTCTTGTTCTTTGTAAGAGAACTTTTTAGCATCAAAGACTTATCGAATGTAACATCCCTACTATTAATGATTTTCATCAATTCGGGGCACCAAAGCATCGAAGACTCATCGAATGTAACATTCTTGCTATTAATGATTTTCTTCAACTCGGGGCACCAAAGTTTATACCCCTTTATATCGTCACTATAGCCCAAGAATATGGCTTTCTTGGCTTTAGGATCCAACTTACTCTCCTTAATATGAAAGTAGGTAGTACAACCAAATATTCGTAAAAAAATATAATTTGCAGCAGGTTTCCCAGACCATACCTCCATGAGCGTTTTGCTCTCATTCGTAGCTGCAGGCAACCTATTAATGAGATGGCATGCGTATGTCACAACCTCAGCCCAAAACGTTTCGCCCAATCCGACATTAGACAACATACATCTAACCTTTTCTAACAAGGTTCGATTCATGCGTTCTGCCACCTCATTCTGTTGCGGCGTATCTCTGACTGTAAAGCGTCAAACAATACCCTCGTCCTGACATACTTGCAAGAATGGGTCCGATGTGTATTCACCCCCATTATCGGATTTGAGTCTTTTGATTTTTCTGCCAATTTGGGTCTCGATCATCTTCTTCCACTTTAAGAACACTTTTAAGACTTCATCTTTATGTTTCATGGTGTACATCCATACTCGTCTAGGGAAGTCATCAACAAAGGAAACAAACTAATGCTTACCTCCCAAAGATGCAACTCTGGTAAGTCCCCAAACATCTGTGTGAACATAGTCAAGTATTCCCTTCGTGCGATGTTCTGTTGTGCCAAACTTGACTCTTGTCTGCTTACCCAGAACACAATGTTCACAAAATCCAAGCTTGCAGGTCTTAACAACTTTCAATAGACCCTAATTCACTAGTCCTTACGAAGCCTTCTCACCTGCATGTCCCAAACGTACATGCCACAATCTAGTAGCATCCGATTCATCTGCCTCTAAACTGTCTGCAACAGCTGTTGAGCCTTTAACTGTATTTCCAAGGAAAAAATACAAGTTACTTTTCCTCGTACCCTTCATCACAACTAGAGCTCCATAGGTCACTTTTAAATCATCGCCTTTCAACGTGATCTTATAGCCTTTTGCTGCCAATAATGTAAGTGAGATGAGATTTTTCTTCAAATCCAGTACATACCGAACATCTTCGAGGACTCTAACTGTTCCATTATGCAACTTCAAACGGATCTTTCTATCCCCCTTGTTTGACAGGCATGATAATTGCCCATGAAAACAGCTCCACCATCCAGCTCCTGAAAACTGGAAAACCACTCCCAGTTGAGACACATGTGATAGGAACAACCTGAATCCAAAATTCATTCTTGAGAACTAAATCCAACTGATACAATTAAAGCAAACTCTGCAACTTCATTGTCACTGCTTGGAATGTTGGCGGCAATCTTCTTGTCATCGCTGTTTTTCAACTTAAGACAATCCTTCTTCCAATGCCCTTTATTGTGACAAGAGGCGCATTCATCTTTAGCAACAGTCTTCTTGCCCGAAGTTGATGCTCCTTTTGATCTGGATTGAGATCTTCCACGACTACCAGACTTTTTCTGATCTGTTCTAGCACATACTATTAGAGCTTCAGTTGTTGAGTCTCTATTAACCTTCTTATCTTTCTTGCAAAGCTCATTATTCATGGGGGTATTAGAGGCATCAACATATATAATTTCTTCTTTTCCATACAGTAGTGTGGTAACCAAATGTTCATACGAATCAGGCAAAGAGTTCAACAATAATAATGTTTTATCCTCATCATCAATTTTAACATCCAAATTTTGCAAATCAGAAAGAATTTTGTTAAAATTGTCTAGATGCTTGGACATAGACATACCTTCTTTATAATCAAACCAAAAAAGTTTATTCTTCAAATATAGCCGATTTTCAATGCTCTTTGTCATATACTTGTCCTTCAACTGCGTCCAAAGCTTGTTTGCTGAAGTTTCGTGCATGAAAGGATATTTCTGATCCTTCTCGAGATAAAGCCGAATTTGACCACAATCCTTACAATTGATCTTGTTCCAATCTTCTTCCTTCATTTTTTCAGGTTTCTCCGTTCCTAAAGAAATGTCTAACTCTTGTTGAGTCAAAACATCCAAAACTTCGTATTGCCACATACTGAAGTTGTTGCGCCCATCAAAATTTTCAATATCAAATTTTACGGTTGCCATCTTCTTTTCAACAATCACGATCACCCAAAAGAATTTTTGATGAAAAAAAAAATCTCCAAAAAAAACCACAATGAATAATGTTATACGTGAATAGTATTATACATTAACAGTATCGTATGTGAATAATACCCGGATAGAATACGAACCGTGGAGCCCTGATACCAATTTGTTGTGCGAAAGCGTGGACCCAACAAATAACTAATGGAAGTTGTTATCACACACTAAAGAAAAATGCCCTCACAAAATAAATTGGAGAAAACACACAAAAAAGGAAAACAAGGATTTACGTAGTTCGGCAATATACCTACATCCACGGGCAGCTCAAGATTAATGTACTAATATTAAAACCCTAAGGGTTACAAAGGACTCACAAACGAGAAAATATATAATATTTTCTTCTCTCTAAATTAGCTCACTTAAGAGCTCTCACTCTTGTGATTTGATTATTTGAACCAGAAGATACTCCCTCCGTCTCAAAATAAATGTCATATTTCCTTTTTTTGTCTGTTTCAAAATAATAGTCCACTTTCCTTTTTCAAACAATATATTTCACCAGGAATTGCTTGATGTTATAGTACCATGGTTGAAACGCAGCATTCTTGTCGGAAGGAGTAGATCTCTTTCCCAAATTCAAAAGTAGAGTTTCGCACCCCTTCTTGTGACCTTATTGCCACTTTCAATACATCAATAGGTCAATTCAATTCGAACGCTTCAACAAGGCAGCTTTCAACAGTGAGAAATTAGATCAGTTTATAGCTTAGACTCCATTCCAGTGTTTGTGTAGAATCGATTCCTTAGACTTGGCCACTTCCCACGAGAGTGAACTTGATTCTCTATAACCATATATGATTTCAACCCTAACTCTTAAAGGTTGTACTCCACTTTTGCAGTACAAGCCAGATCGGGGATCAAAAATCAAGGATCAAATCAAAAGGAGACAAGGTAAGGCTCAACCCATTCATCCCCTCAGTTTAGCTGGGGGGAAGATTCCATTTTGAACGGAGATTCTTTCACCCGCTGGTCACTCTCTTTGGCCTCATACTTTTTCGCACTTAGACTCGCAGCGTGCCATTGGTAATGATTCTACTACGGTGCCACAAATTCAAACTTCCACATTTAGTATAATCGAAAAGGAATAGAAATGTGAGAGTCAAGCACTGACATTTGAACTTACAGGTTTGGGGTTGGATTTCTTCAGCTAAATCCGATCTAACATCCACTCTGAAACCAAGCCCGTCATTCCTTTTGCTATCCATGTGAGAGAATCAAGAATCTCTTTCCATATATGTGCTTTGAGTTTAAAATTTCAAACTTGAATATTCAAATTTTAAAATGACAAGTTAATAATTTTTCAGACATACAATGCATATCTCACATGTCCCCTTAAAAATCAGTAGTCCCCATAAGCGACACTTAAGACGGAGGGAGATATACCATATTTTCTTCTCTCTAAATTAGCTCACTTAAGAGCTCTGTTTTTCTCCCTCTTGTGATTTGATTATTTGAATCATGAGATACAATGGCTATATATAGTCATATAAATACTTGATGTCCAAATATATTACAAAGCTTCCTTTGGAAGCCAAATGACACTTGCTACCCTAGAATAATTCTTGTTGCCCTAGAATTTCAAAGCTTCATTTGGAAGCTAATTTGAAAGCTTCACCATTACACTTCTGTAGCCAATATTTAATTCAATCAAATATACATTCTTCTCTTATAAGCTTTGTGCAAGCTTCATCATTACACTTCTGTAACTAATATTTGATCTAATCAAATATACTTCCTTCTCTTGTAAGCTTTGTGCAAATTAATTTTGAGCCATATAATTCAACATATATAACCTGTTTTATGATGTAATAGAATACAATAAAAACAAACTAACAATTTATATTAACAATAAAGTCAGACAACATACAAAGACTTTGATGTACGAGTACTGAGTTTATCATAATGCGCACAAAGTACAAGTGATTTTTAGACTTTGATGTCCGTGAGTACGAGTTTATCATAACAGGGATTTGGTAGTTTAAGTCTTAACTATTTTGCTTAGGAAAGCGAAAAAATTATCTTGATTAGCTATAATAAAACTAGATACAGGTAGCAAAGTGTCCACTTCTCTCTGCAGATTAATCCTGAGCTCTGCAAGTTGATCTTCACTATTCACTTGCAACCATCTTCTAAGTGTCTCCTGCAGCCCATGGGGTACTCTCGGATCAATGGTCGCACTGCCGTGCTTCCATCGCGAACTTATTTTAAATAAGTCATTTTCACTAGCTATGACAAAACTAGTAGGATTCATCTGGAGACCGAAGTGGAGTATTTGCTAGGTGTAACAAGTTTTGTCATAGCTAGTGAAAATGAATTCCATGCACTGTCTTACTTAAAACAAGTTCACGGATGGAAGCACGGCAGTGCGACCATTGATCCGGAAGTACCCCGCGGGGAGACACTTAGAAGATAGTTGGAAGCACAGGATCTTCAGCATTCACTTCTTCCATGTCATCAATTGCTCTTTTGAGATTATGCAGTTGCAGCAATGTCATCCTAAGAAATACAAAATAAAAACATGACTCATCACATAGAAAAAACAGACAAAGGGGGAAAAGGCTTGGTTGTTGATGTAAATATTAGTGTACAATTATGGTTTTTATAATGAACCACGAGACAACTTGATAAAACATGAAGCAGCAGTAGAGCTTGAAGAGACAATAGAGAAGCAGGAATTGTTGGTGATATTTGATGCAACAAATGACAATTAAGTCCAACCACCACAATGTCACAAATCATATCAAATATTTACACGGGAAATCATCAAAAAAAAAAACAAAAAAACTTGGGATCCCAGCAAATTGATTAGAGCCAAATTGCAAGTCCATACTAAATGCAATATGAAGAAAAACTATATGTAAAAGGTGCTCATGGCATCTGCAAAAAATAATTAATATTCATTCAGCTTGTGCAATAGAAGAAGTGATTAAGGGTATAAGTGATGATGTAATTAGATAAGTGCTTCTATCGGAGGAAAGGTCAAACAGACAAGTAGACATCACCATTGAATTAAGAGGGTCCAAAAATCCTAGAAACCATTATAATATTGACCGTGTTCTGATCATATGCTAACTTAGTGATCTTAAATCTACTCACTATATATGATTTTGTTATTATCTAGTGTTTCTGACCCATAGGTAACTTTTCTTTTAGTAAAATGAGCTCAGCAAAGGGAGCATTAGAGTCTATTTACCTCACAAAATGTGAGGAATTAGAGTTGGTTATATTCATGTACAGATGTAGCTGTAATATGTTCTATATGTGGTAATTTATTAATGCAATTGGATTTCTGGTGCTTTTCTAAAATTTAAGGGAAGAAACTTCTTTAAAATCTTGGCAGCAAAGAGTGATGAGGGTAATCAAGGGCGGAGCCAAGAATTTATTTCAAAGGGGGCAAAATGCACTTATTGAAAAAAATTAAATCAACAAATATAATTTTTTAAAATCAAAAGGCAAACAAGAAAAAAATAGTTGCAAAATAATATGCTAAATAAGTATTGTAAAAAAAAATATACTTACAAATATAAGAATCAAAATATTGATTAATAATATTTTAATTAAATACAACTCAAATGTCATCGATAAAAAGAAAGAAGTGAAAAAAAATGGAACAATACATAATTATACATAAGGCTCCGTTTGGTTAGATGGAAATAGCACGGAAAAGAAATGGAAAATGAAAAGAAAAGTGAATGAAAAGAAAAATTGATTTTCTAGTATGTATTTGGTTAGGATGAAAATTTCTTCAAGAAAATTGTAGGAAAATATCATATTATAATTTGAATACCTAAATTACTCTTATTTTATAAAATAAAAATTAGTAATAAAATATGTTAAAAAAATGATAAAGTTTTCAATTAATTAAGACATTTTGAATTACTATTATTCATATATGATGAAATATAACTAGGATTGGAAGTTAATTAAAAATTTATCAATGATAAAGTTGTTAGTGGACTCCAATTCTTTGAAACCTAATAAAAAAATTGTTATTATTTCCAAATATAAATGAAGTTATTGGGTAAAATAATATCAATGAAGTTGTTGGGTAAAATAGGAACACTAAATAAAAAGACATGCTTTCATGAAAAAATAAAACTTCCCCGAAGGAAACATTTAGGAGAAAAAAAAGGATTACAAGAATCCTAATTTTCTAGAACTTTTCTTTTCTATCTAACCAAACTATAAAAAAGTTATTAAATTCCTATTTCCTTTCTTTTCCCGTTGATTCTATCTTAACCAAACGAAGCCTAAGTAAAAAAAAGAAAAATTTTGAAGAAGGAAACAAACTTAGAAAAGAAAAAAATTGCATGGTGTACTTGAAGAACAGGATATATGTAAAAAAATATTTTTAGAGGAAATTAGAGGAATTTGAAAATTTTAGGAGGTGCAATAATTAAAATTACCATATAAATATATGTATATAGCAAAAATATATACCTATGTGTAGTAGGTTAGAGCAAGGATAGGCACATGCCCCCTCTGGGACTTAATTAGCTCCTCCCCTGAGGGGTAGTGTCGCAATTTTATTAGAATAGGTGAAATTTTAGTGGGTGATGTAATGGCCAATGTCATTAAGAGAGGTTCTATTTGGAGAAACATAAGAATATGCTGTGCATCAGTCATGTATGCCAAACACCACTTACTCTCACATTTGGTATTATAAAAGCTACTTTAATATTTAATATGCTTTAAACAGTAACAAAAAAAGAACTTAGGATAATATTTAAATATAAAGTAAAAAGACATTTATTTTATTTTATATTTTATAAAGTATATTTTTTTACTATTTTTTGTTTAATTTATTTTTCTTTTACTATTCAGGGCCTCTTTTTTGGCCCATTCTATCCTACTGAAGTGTAGTGGAGGCTGTGGAGCGAGTGACTAAACTAGACTGAAATCCTTTTTTTCTGGCATTAACTTGGAAAGACAATCTATCCATCCACTAGAGATTATAAACTGGTTACATAGAGCTTTCCCTCACAAACCCTCAACCCTTTTTGTACCCTATCAGTCACAAATTATTCTGTCAGATACTAACAAAAGACTTGACTGTCTGACATAGGAGAAAATATATCCTCACCGCAGTATATAAACTGATACATCAGACTAACATTATAGATTACTATTAAATTTATATATTTAACAAGGTGGCTTCAAAAAAATATTATAATTACATAACACTAAATTTTCTCTCAGGCCTTAGAAGTTTTCCTTTAATTGTATTAATGCAAATAAATTAAATATTTCATAAAACTATAAATAAATAAATAAATAAACTTGAGAAACAAAGTATATAAAAATACTTTATCTCAATTTTAGTCAGATGAAATCATATTTTCTGATTGAAGCTTAAAATTTTAATATTAGTGTACAATTATGTTTTTTTTAAACTTGTAAAAACATGAAGCAACAGTAGAGTTTGAAAAGAGAATAGAGATGTCACACAAATCATCAGAGGCAAGTAAACCATAGAGATCAAATATTTACATAGAAAATCCTTAAAAAATACATGGGATCCCATATATGATCACCAATATGCAAAAGGAGAAAATTGTTGGAGCCAAATGGCAAAGTCTATACTTCGATACAATATGAAGAAAAAACTATATGTAAAAGTTGCTCGAGGTATCTGCAATAAACAATTAATCTTGTAAAACAAAAGCCGTGATTAAGGGACTATTTGATGTTGTAATAAGAGAAGTGCTTCCATAAGAAGAACTACTCTCTTATTTAAGTACTGTGGAAATACAAAGTAACAAAGAAAGAAAATAGAGCCAACATATTTTGATTTCTAATCTTGTTTAAACATGAGTATGAGAAAGAAAATAGAGACAGCATATTTTGATTTCTAATCTTGTTAAAAACATGAGTACGAAAATGTTATCCATTCCTTTCATTTACTAATCCTTTCCTAAATCTGCAAGCCAAAACATTAGTACTCACACACATTTCAGCAACAAAATAAGTCCACCTGGGGTGTTAAATTAAAATTACAGAATTTGAAACAACTTCCCAAATTTTAGAAAAGCACCAAAATCCAGTAAAGCGCACCAAAAAAAAAAACGTATGGAAAACATGAATAAAACAATATATCGGCAAAGATTTAATAGTTAGAAGAATAATTAGAAGAGTTAGGTACCTGATGATTGAGGAGGCATGCCTAGATTCTTAGATCTGATATATAATTTCGGTCGAAAGAGACTTGAGAATGAGAGTGTTGTCTTCAAAATCAGTTGATGGACAGATGTATCCTGTTACAACAAAGATGGAGATGTGTCTTAAACATGTGAAGAATCAAGAGGTGGAGGAGAAAAGAGTGAAGATCTGATGGAAGAATAAGAGAAGGTCGGTGGCCAGAAGAAAGTGTGAGGAAGAGAGAGACAGGAGTGATAAGATTGCTCACTCTCTCTCTAAGTATTAAATTGTATTGATGGTTCATTAAAAACATTGTTTACTTTTCTGATGGCTAGGTGTAAAAGTTAAAATGACAGCTATCATCTCACAAAATGACAATGGATTGGGTCGGCTTTACTCAATCACAGAGCTGGTAAAAATGAATAGGCATGGGTTTAAAATCCTTCATTAGTCGTATCAATCCTCCTCACACTATGTCCAATACTTCTACTACTACTTTTTACATTCTCTACTAATTAAATCAGTGTGTCCTGAGATCATTTTCTTATTTTTCTTGCTATTTGGATAGAAATGAACTATATAAACCTCCCACAATAATTGCAATTAGCCTCATCAGAAGGCTCCCCACGGAACTTTTGTGAAATGATTCCACACTTCAGATTTTGGTGGACAACTTTTATTGTGGCTTCATTTGTTGTCTTTGTCTCTCTTTTTCACCATTTCTATACTGTCTAAAATGTATGTGTGAAAGGAAAAAAAAAAAATGCTCAGTCAATTAATAGTGCATATATAAATTTCTATTTCAATATGCAAGGCAAAACAACAATAACAGATATTGAATTCATAGAGAGTGACAATACAACAAAGATACAGAAAGGGTAGTTACAAAAATAACAAATTGTGTGTATATATAAATTTATCCATGTATAAATATGCAAGGCAAAACAATAACATAGATTCATAGTGAGTGACAAGAAAGATGCAGGGAGCGTATTATACATAGAACAAATAAAAATAAAAAATGGATTTCTAAATAACCAAAAAATAAACTCACACTCTCCAAGTGATGCCATACCTACCGATGGGACAGCAGACGACGACGGAGGGACAGCGGCACAGACGACGACGGAGGGACAGCGGCACAGACGATGACGAGGACGGCGGGAAAGCAGACAACGTCGATGGCGAGGACAGAGGACGGCGGACGACGTCGATGGCGAGGACAGAGGACGACGGCCGACGTCGATTACGGACGATGGCGAGGACGGACAGCAGACTACGGCGGGACAGCGGCACGACGTCGGCAGTATGATGTCGAGGACGACGATACAGGATTTGGAATTTTGGAGGCTCCGTATGGACGAATGACGATTTGAAGAGAGGGAGTGTGTTTGGAAATGAAAGACAGAGGGAGGCGCTTGGAAGAGAGACGAGGAGTAGAAAGCTAGGGTTCTCCTTTTAGATCAGTCGTTAGATCAGATTTATTGAACGGTCAAGATTTATAATATTTATTTGCTAACATACAATAAGTACTCTTTACAATTGGAAATATTCATCCATACAGAGCCTCCAAAATATGTTGCATTCTAAACTCAGCATCACTGGCTCTATAATACAAGATCAATAGACCATGTCGGGGCCTGTTTGTAGGGAACAAACTATTTACCACAAAAGCCCATTCATAATACCATTTCACATCTAAAATATAAACCCATTTGAGTACAAGTTTGACCCAACTCACCATGTCATTAATGAGGCCCAAAGAATTGACAATCCATTAGCCCATATCCAAATAAGACTTCACCTCAGCCATTAGATTTTAACCCATCTCAACCGTTGGTTTGCTTAAGAGAGAAGAATGAACCACTACAACTAGTAAAACCAAACCTGTTCGTCTAAAGGTTGCAAATGGGTGTTGGGCAATGGTAAATCCATTAATATTTGGAAGGACAAATGGGTGACAGGGTTGTGCTATAATCTGCATTCTCTTTCCGATCGTAACATTTCTCAGTTAGTTTCTGATTTAATCAACGTGCCAAATATGTTTTTGAAAGGGAATAACATAATATATATATTCATCTCTAACGTAGTGTCCCCTTCCCCAACCATGCTATTTCGGTCATTTTGATATGTATATTTATAAAATATTAGCCTCAAGAGTTTTTGGATCGTCCCTGGTGATATATTGGTTTTGTTGATTTTGTTGATGTAATCACCACTATGTAAAAGGAGCAGAATAACATATTGCAAATTCCATACTTAATGCAATATGAAGAAAAAACTGTATGTAAAAGGTCTTCGAGGCATCTGCAAAAAACAGTTAATAGTCATCCAATTTGTGCAACAAAAGACATGATTATGGGTCTGTTTGTTGGTGTAATAAGAAAATTATCTTTAGAAAATTCTTCTCTTGGTGGAAATAGGAAGTAACAAAGAAAGAAAATAGAGACAATATATTTTAATTTCTAATCTTATTTAAAGATGAAAGAGAATATGAGAATAATAACATTTCCTTTCATTTTCATTTCCATTTTCTTTCCTTTCCTAAATCTGCAAGCCAAAACAATAGCACTCACAAACATTTTGTGCTTAAAGTATATTTTTTGTATAATAACTCTTGAATAATCATATTTGGTTGCAAAATGTCGCAATGCCAGCTATATTTTATCAAATAACCATAATACCAAATAAATCGATTTTCTCCATGGTGGGTTTTTTATTTATATTCTTTAATAGTCATTGTTATATTCACTTTGGGTCTTTAATTCTATTTTTTTTAGACATATATATTACTGTATATGGTAGTATTATATAGGGTTAAGTGCAAAAAACCCCATGTACTATTGGCAAATTGCAACTAACCCCCCTGAACTACAAAAAACCCCCTGAACTATGAATTTGTTGCATTTCAGTCCATTCCGGTGACTGACTTAACCGAAAAAATAAAAAGTCTGAATTGCCCTTATGATTAGTCACTACTGTTTATATAAATATATATGTGTTTATATATATATATTTCTGGTTTTAAACTGAATTTATATATATGTGTTTATATATATATATATAAGATTGGAGATTGAAGAGAGAGAAAAGCATCAGGCTGGAGATTGAATCGTGAAGAAAATGAAGGAAAAAGATGGTGGCGGCGGTGGCGATTATGGTGACGGAAGAGGAGGTAAGTCGGCGATTATGGTGACGATGCGGAGTTGACGCGTCAAAACCCAAATCATCCTCATCCCCGCTGGGATCTCGCTGCCGTCATCTCCTGCGCTTGCCCCGCCACCGTCTCTTGCGGTGGCGGCTGGGACAAGCTCGGATGGTGGAGAGGACCAGCAAGCAAGGTGGGTTGAACGGCGATGGGCTGGTTCGGCCATGGTTGACTCGCGGCGATGGGCTGGTTGCGGCTTAGCTGCACAGCGGCCGAGCTTTGCCTCATCCGCCGACCTCCCTGTTCCGATCGGGACGGTCACCCACTTCTCGTTTTCATCGACCCCAAATTACTCCGCAATCATTCTCCACAAGTGCTTCCATTTGAACAGATCGCCGTTGCTGCAATTGAAAGCTTTGTTGCTCGCATACGGATCCATCGCCGCCCATACTGGTGCTCCCCTATCAGATCGGAATCCGACGCCACCGAGTAGCAGTTCCATGCCGCCTTCGTTCCCGGGGGAGAACCAGAGATTGTGTTTGAAGGGGGTGATGGCAGTGGGTTAATGGGGGTTTGGTTTCACAGTGTGTGATGGGTTTGATGGAGAGAAGATTGGGCTGTGGTTGGTGATGACGGGTGATGGTGGTGGCGGGATTGGGGTGGTGGCTGTGGGTTTGTGTACTGGTTCGATTGGGTTTGGTGGTGTGCTGTTGAGATGCCGATGGAGGTGGTAGTGATGGTGGTGGGTTTGATTTGGTTTAATGGTGTGTTTTGGCATGAGTTCAGGAGGGTTTCGTGGTGGTTATGTTAGTGGTTGCGGACGATGGTGGTGGTTATGGTGGTGGTCGTAGACGACGGTGGTGGTCGTAGACGACGGTGGTGGTGGTTATAGGATAATTTGGTATTTTCATATATGGAAGGTATTATTGTCCAAAAAACTTGGTTTGTCTGTCGCGTGTGAATCACTCACTCATTTTTGGACGGCCGGTCACCGGATGGGGTGATCTGCAACTTTTTTGTATAGTTTAGGGAGTTTTTTGCATTTTTGGTAGTTCAGGGGGTTAGTTGCAGATTTCCCCATAGTTCAGGGGGGTTTTTTGCACTTAACCCTATTATATATTCCAGCAGCAAAGCTCAACCACATATGGCCTTGACATATAACTGGAAAGTAGTCATAATGGGTATGTTGTGGCAAGGACGTGTGTAATGCAGGTGTTTTAGTTTGTTTTGAGTGAATTCGTTGCGGAAGTGCGAACTCTAAAGTCAAATTTGCAAATCCTAGAAATTGAATTCACTAAGTTTTCACGAATTTATTCTCAAATCGCAAATTTGTGTGCGGACCTTGGGAGCGAAACTTCCTCCTGCGAACTAAGCTTTTGACTCTACCACTCTTGCTTCTGACTCAACCTCTATGATCGACACCTCTCTAGTGCTAGCTTGTGCTAATAGCTAATATTTATAGCAACGTAATATATATATATATATATCCTCAAACCTTGAATTCAATGTGAGATTTTAACAAGCCAACATACCACGAAGGTCACATCATATTAAATGTTATCTAACAACAATAATTATATATAATTATTGTAAGAATAAATATATTTATTTTTAAGAATTGTTTATCTACCACTATTTTTTTTGAAAAAAAAAATATACAACCTATTTTCCTAAACATGTTTTTTTTTTTTTTTGGAGGTCAAATATATCATCAATTTTTGTTTATTATTATAATATATATTTGTTAAGAATGACACTTCTAACTTGTGTGAAATGATTTTTAATTTTTATTTTCTCTTCTTATAATATAAGATACGAATTTTAATTTATTTAATGTTTAAATATATTATTATTTATTATAAATATTATTATTATAATTGTTATTAAAAGTAACAATGTAGATTTTATAAATAAATCACTACTTGTGCTAGGTGGACATAAAAAATATTAAAATTTACTAAAAGGCCATTTTGATTGAATTGTGTTATATATATATATATATATATATATATATATATATATATATTTATATTTGGTACACTTAACTAAAATTATATATATATTCTTTTCTCACATGTTATATATATAGTATGAATTTACATTTATATAATGATTAAATTAATTGTTGTTCATTAATTTACTAAAATATAATTAAGATTGCAACTGAAAAGTTATAAATAAATTATTACATTTGTTAAATGGTCTTTAAAAATACACTAAAAATTACTAAAACTAAAAATCACTAAAAAGATATGTGTCTTGGATTATGTTGTAAAAAGATGAATTTCTGTGCATTTTGGACCCTATGTGTGAGATGGAAAAAAAAAAAATTCACGACTTTATTTTAATGGCCTTACACCCCAAAGCAAGCTATTTTAGATCAAATAACCCAACCATTCTGCCCACTTATGTAATTGACAAGGAGCTATATGCAGCCATCAGCATGATCAGATGGTAATCTTATTTTTTGAAACATTCATCTAGACAACAACAGCTTTCATGCCAGCATCCCCTAGAAATTAAGCCACCTTGTACAAACAACAATTTTATTTTATTTATTTTTTTCCAACTATAGAAACAGCATTGAAGAGGGTTATATTTGTATGTGTGCAGATAATGATAAACACACTTTTATTTTGATCTATTATTTCCAATTTAAGATTTAGTAGATTCTAATGTTGTGCACCAATTTCTTGAATGTTGTAGTTGAAAGTGCTTTAGTGAATAAATCTGCTTAGATTTTCTCATTAACGTATCTTCTGAATATCAATATCACCATTTTCATTTTTTGGCGTTCATCTGCATAATTTTTTTTTGATGAGATGTGTTTGGTCTGTCACTTTTGATATAACTCTCGTTTGATTTGTGCAATGCACGCAACATTATCGTCATATAACGCAGTTAGACTATCCTATTTGTGATCGAGTTTGATGTGCGTCAGATAAATAGCCAACATCTGCATATCTAATAAGCTAGGATTTTATTTTCTTTGAATAAATTAATCTCATATTGATTTGAGGATGCAGTAAGTGGCATGTGTCGGTTATAACTCGCTGGCATGGGATCGGGTCAAACAATTGAAGTATGGCCCATGCAAAAGCACCCCGAAATGGGCCGAACTTGGAGGATCCACTGAGGAAGATCAAGCCCATTGGAAAATCAGGCCCAAAAGGAAGAAAACCCTTGAATATAGGCCCAATGTAATCAGTTAGTGAGAATATTTGTAATGGTCTATAAATAGACCATTACGGGTGGATAAGAAGGAGGATTTTGATTCTATTGAAGTGTAAGAATTCTAGAGAGAGAAAGCAAAATGAATTTCTTGCATCTTCAA